TTCTTTCTTCTAATTTTTATCGTTATATTCCACATAGACTGTTTTGCATTCATCAGCTAACTCATCGAAATTCTTGGTATGAATGACTACTTTCAATCAACTATGATGTACATGTCGTCTGTCGAGGCATTTTAAAAATATGTGAATAGAACAAACATACAAAGACATCAGGTTTAGATTTTAGACATTAACAAATGAAAACGAAGGAGCAATAGAGAAAAGTACGTAAAATACTTCATAATGGTACGTCATTGTATACTTGCATAGAAGGAGACAGTAGTATGTTATAACATTTGGCTCCAAAGTATTTGACTGAACAAAATTATAGTAACAGCACAGTAAAATCAAATCTGTTAATATTTAAGACCCACTGTGTAGCTATGTTGATTAATTAGACGATCATCTTTCGGCGGGAATTCGAGCAGAGTTAGATGGTATTGAGGCAGAGCATGGGGTGGTGGTCACAAGGGGCGATTTTACTCCAGGTCATATCCAGGTTATTTACTATCCAACCTTGGGATAGGACTCCTATCGTAGAGAAATTCTGATGGAGATATATGTCATAACATTTGATGAATTCGACAGTCAGTTGCTGGTGTTAATTCTGACTGTTTTTTTAATGCGTTCAGTGGACAGAGCTGTTTGGGCCCGTGAGCCATAGGGGTAAGAAACAATATCACGAATTTTCAGCTTCCAGCAAACCGTGTCACGACTGTTTTCGGAGGCATATTTATTTAACAGATAGGTGCATCGTCTTATTGTGGTGCTGGCACTGATTTCACTTGCAGTTAGTTCCATATTTGCCTACATTTGACTGTGAAGAAGTTGGAACGAGACTTCGTTAGACAAAGAATATGAATTGTAGAAGACCTGTTGCTATCTGATTCATACGCTGAAGTTGTAAACTGAAGGTTGTTTTGGAGAAAATATACTATTCCTCTGGAAAGTTTAAATAGCAAAGTCTGACTAAGTTGTTGATGCCTGAACCAAAGGGTTTCGATCTTCAGAATTGAGCAACGATTGCTGTGACTTTAAGGGTTCCTGAAATTCTAAGTGTAAATTTCTTTTTGGGCACTTTGAATCTTTTTTGCCTTTAAATGGACAGTATCAGCTGCGAACGATGTCGCTACCACCGTGGTGGCGTCGATAACACAAGATAGGCGTTTGTTACTGCTAAAATAGAGTTTACTTCTACAACACTCAGCATTTGTGACCAGATACAAGATCCCAAGAACAAAGACGTTCCAAACAGTCAGCTGCAGTGTTTCATTAATAACTGCATTTGTTCGATAGGAAATATCGGATGGTTGGTACGGGGATAAATAAAAAGGAACTCAGTAAACGAACTTAACAAAGGTCTAATTTTGGACGAATATGCTGGAGAATTTCGGGATGGATTGGTTATCTGGAGATGAAACCACTGATCGACACCACTTGCAAGCTACACTGTTACCCATTTCGGTTAGTTTGGTAGGAGAAACATTCTCGAAATTGGTGAACCCGTTTCATTAACACTTCGCTTTCCATTTCGTCATTGTTGGCTATAATTTAAATATGTTTTGTTTTCGCTTGTCTACCAGATTTACTGGTTTTTTCTCTAGCACGCATTATTTAGACCGATAGTTTTGTTCATTATAATGTCCCATATGTCGAACACGGGGACTGATTTTATGGACTCTACTTCCATGGATTCTTTAGTAACCAGAAAAGTTGGGTACCTGAATTTGATCGACATGACTCGGAACTATGTTGTGCTCAACCACAGCAATACCTTGACGGTTATGGCATCAAGTGTGAAACCACTAGGTATAAGGACATGTGATTTCAATCACCTGATTAGATTGGTAAGGAGGAACTGGACCTTATACATCACTCCTGCGCCCGCCTAACGAGCAGTGACACACAGTATGTGGTGATGAAACGCCTATCCATGTCAGGAAACCAGCGCCTACAACGGTTGCTTCAAGGGGTGACAAGGGAGACAGACCCCCATCAAAGCCTGCATGGACGATTTACTAACCGCCCTCCCGGATATTAACAAATATGAAGATCGAATTCGGGTGGTACTACACAAAATAGAAGGCGACGGCATTGCGATCCATCAGGGCGAGTTTTGGGTAGAAACATTAGAGTTCTCAAAACATGTTATGGACTACACTTAGACCTCACGAATACCCACTGAAGTGGATACTACCAAGCAGTATTCCTCACTCACATCCTTCATACAGCAAAGTAGTTTCATGGGGGTGACCAACTCTTATAGACGCTTCATACCCAACTGCACACAATATTTGCAGCCCCTGACTGAAACACTAAGGGGCAAAACAGAAGACTTTCACTCGCAGAAATAGGTACATGACGCAATCGCACAGCCGAAAGAAGCGTTGGCGAAGCTCATAACCCCGGAATATCCTAACCCAGTTGCTCCTCGTACAATAATGGTAGAGGAATCAGATAAGGCTGTGGAGGGGACTCTAGACCAGCTAGGGGAAAATACACGGAAGCCAATAGTATTCTCATCTAAATGGCTCAATTCTGAAGAAGCGCGGTATTCTACTTCTCACAGAGTTGCTAGCAACCTACCGTTAAGCACTTTTAACAAACGGTGGAGCCCAGACTATTCATGATCTGCACAGACCACAGACCTCCCATATATGCTGTCAACAAAAGAACAGACAGATACACACCACGCGAAATACCCCACCTTGATTTTATATCACAGTTTACCAGTGATATAGACACAAGAGGGGGGATGAAAAACACTTTGGTTGATGCACTATCCAGAATGCACGTGAATACAGTGTAACAAACCACTAGCCGAAAATCGAAAGAACCACGAAAAGTTAAAGCATATCCTCACTGCAAATAACTCTCGTCTTCAACTTAGACAATTCCCATCTCCTGTAGATGGAAGCTTGGTAAGCTGTGACATAACGGAGGATCCATCCAAGCCATTCGCCCGTAAAATTATGCGAAAAGCTAAATTTAGTAGTTGTCCCCATTATCACACCCTGGATTAAAACCTTCAGCTAAAATGGTCTCGGCGAGACATGTTTGTCCATACTTACAACGTGACATGCAGAAGCGGGCGAGGGAGTACATGGCATGCCAGAGACGGGAAGTAGGCAGACACACAAGGTCACACATAGAGACATTTTCCCAATCGTATACACGTTTCAACCATGTTAAAGTTAAATTAGTAGGTCCCCTCAACGCCAAAACAGATTCGCTAAATTTTCCGCGGGCATTGATAGACCCGCCAGGTTCCGAGTAGCCGAACTACCCACTTATCGCATGGCCTATTCAACTGCATAACGCTTTCTCGCTCCAAGAATTTCCCATGCTAAATCGATCATTAACCATCACCGCCACTCACTCACACACTCACTCACCCACTGCCTCGCTCGCTCGTTCCCTCGCTGAATGACATTGACAAAACACACACTAATGAAGATGAACACACTTCATATATTTTGTAAATGAAAAGGATCAATACAAAATGATGTTGACAACAAATGCAATAATACAAGATAATTTTCTTCGTCTCTCAATACTTCATGACCACATGATGACCACAACCATCGCCTCGATCAGGATCCTTCAATGTTGACTGACTTAGACTCGACTCGACTGACTCGCATTTGATGATATATGTAGGTTGTAATCATTGTGATGAGGCTGGCTGTCAAGTCACGGGAGTTCTGTAATGAACGGAAAGAGTAAATGTTTGTCAGGGATTAGTGAATTATTTATAAAAGTAGTCAACGAGCACTCATCGAGAATGACCAATTATTGTCGATTCGAATGGAAATATGATCTGATGGAGGAACAGGCCCATACACGTGCACACACACACACAGACACTGACTCTGACCTATTCTCCGTGTCAACATGAACACTCTACCAGATATATACCAGATATACACATACTTGTGTCTGTAAGGCGGAGGGAGGGTGAAGGACGACTCACTCAGCGAAGTACACACATCGATATTTCTCTTCATATCCTTTGACTTTGGCTTTGACGATGTCAAATCTAACTGATTCGGTCAAAGTCGGATGCAGTCTGGTCCCTTTCCCTGGCTCCTTACACAGACAAGCTGGCTACACCGCTGAGTGCTCATTCGGATATCTCATGGTAGGTAACAATGAAACCACGAAGAGTCTTCACTCATACGACACAACAACGCCAACCTGTTATACTTGATGAGGCAAGATTACTTGAGTTAATCACTCGAGACTGTACGGAGTGCATCCCATACACCAAATATCACAATCCTGTTGGCAAGCTCACACGTGAAATAATGACAAGACATTGATTGACATGACATGACAAGTGTTCACTCACATGAAATGACGGTGTGACTGACTCCTGTGTGGGAAAGTTGGTTGAGCTGACTGTCGACGTGATGACAGCAATGGAATCTAAGGGAAGAGAGGAGAATGTTGTTATTGTTGTTGTTGTCGATCAAAAACAAACACGAATGATATTTGCATACTCACCCATACATCCTGGCCAGTACATTCTTGTCGATGAGAAGTCACTCTGACGGTGATGAAGATGATGATAGAGAATTAAGACTACTTACTCTCTGTCATTTATATAGTATTCTCATGTTCACCGACTGATTATCTCATTGTGCACCAGGTTAATCACAATTATCACACAGTATTGTGTGTGTGTGTGGTGATGTGGGTGTGAGTGTATGTCTTTCTCAGGGTGTGTCAAATACCCAATCATTACTCCATAAAATCTGAGTGATTATGATAATGTTGTCTATGATTGTGAGTGGAAGAGGGGATTCATCCTTGCGGGACTTGATTGGTTGTCGAGTGTCTGGTTATCTCCAAATTCAGATGGACAAATACAATCTGATGGAATGAAAAGTGACTAAGAATACGAGGACCAAAGGTTCAATGGAGATGAAGTATCGGGTTGACAGTTGACAGACAGACAAAATATCTCAGACATGAATGTGGATTCGTGTCAGAGAAGTGAGATGAGTTCAGTGTCAACTACTACTACTACTACTACTACTAATACTAATACTAATACTAATACTAATACTAATACTAATACTAATACTAATACTAATACTAATACTAATACTAATACTAATACTAATACTAATACTAATACTAATACTAATACTAATACTAATACTAATACTAATACTAATACTAATACTAATACTAATACTAATACTAATACTAATACTAATACTAATACTAATACTAATACTAATACTAATACTAATACTAATACTAATACTAATACTAATACTAATACTAATACTAATACTAATACTAATACTAATACTAATACTAATACTAATACTAATACTAATACTAATACTAATACTAATACTAATACTAATACTAATACTAATACTAATACTAATACTAATACTAATACTAATACTAATACTAATACTAATACTAATACTAATACTAATACTAATACTAATACTAATACTAATACTAATACTAATACTAATACTAATACTAATACTAATACTAATACTAATACTAATACTAATACTAATACTAATACTAATACTAATACTAATACTAATACTAATACTAATACTAATACTAATACTAATACTAATACTAATACTAATACTAATACTAATACTAATACTAATACTAATACTAATACTAATACTAATACTAATACTAATACTAATACTAATACTAATACTAATACTAATACTAATACTAATACTAATACTAATACTAATACTAATACTAATACTACTACTACTACTACTACTACTACTACTACTACTACTACTACTACTACTACTACTACTACTACTACTACTACTACTACTACTACTACTACTACTACTACTACTACTACTACTACTACTACTACTACTACTACTACTACTACTACTACTACTACTACTACTACTACTACTACTACTACTACTACTACTACTACTACTACTACTACTACTACTACTACTACTACTACTACTACTACTACTACTACTACTACTACTACTACTACTACTACTACTACTACTACTACTACTACTACTACTACTACTACTACTACTACTACTACTACTACTACTACTACTACTACTACTACTACTACTACTACTACTACTACTACTACTACTACTACTACTACTACTACTACTACTACTACTACTACTACTACTACTACTACTACTACTACTACTACTACTACTACTACTACTACTACTACTACTACTACTACTACTACTACTACTACTACTACTACTACTACTACTACTACTACTACTACTACTACTACTACTACTACTACTACTACTACTACTACTACTACTACTACTACTACTACTACTACTACTACTACTACTACTACTACTACTACTACTACTACTACTACTACTACTACTACTACTACTACTACTACTACTACTACTACTACTACTACTACTACTACTACTACTACTACTACTACTACTACTACTACTACTACTACTACTACTACTACTACTACTACTACTACTACTACTACTACTACTACTACTACTACTACTACTACTACTACTACTACTACTACTACTACTACTACTACTACTACTACTACTACTACTACTACTACTACTACTACTACTACTACTACTACTACTACTACTACTACTACTACTACTACTACTACTACTACTACTACTACTACTACTACTACTACTACTACTACTACTACTACTACTACTACTACTACTACTACTACTACTACTACTACTACTACTACTACTACTACTACTACTACTACTACTACTACTACTACTACTACTACTACTACTACTACTACTACTACTACTACTACTACTACTACTACTACTACTACTACTACTACTACTACTACTACTGCATCTTCATTTATCACCGGAGATTGTCGTCATGGAAGAAACATAGATCGATTCATGGAGAAAGGAATGTGTTTAACATTTAGCCATCCAGCCAGCTAGGCAGCTAGCCAGTCAGATGCATTTCGAAAATCTATACACATCTATCTGTTGTCTTCGGGACTCAGAAATCACTGTTCAAAGACTCAGTAACTCGATGAGTAATGCTGTGACCATGGTCAGATGTGTGTGTTTACCACAATGAACAGGTGTGAGACGGACATATGAGGAGATATATGTTTGAAGCGGAGTGTTAAACGGTTGTCGAATCACTCACTCACTCACTCACTTCACACTCCGGCTTCAACTGCATTCATCACTCACCTTGCACAACTCATGTCCACACATGGTGAATGAAAATCCGACAATATCGCCAATCAGCACAACACACATCAGTGAGTGTATAATTCGTGGATATTTATTCATCACAGTGATAGTGTTGTCGCAGTTGCTTCCGGTTGTGTGACATCATCACATGTCTAACACGACGTTGAAGTGAATCAAATTTCACTGAGATGAATTCATCATTTCCAGTGACTCTGATTTACAAATATATTGACCACTTTTAATCTGACTGTTTCAGAGGCGAATTGAAGTGTTCTCCTAGTGACGTGTTGGTTCAAATTACACAGTTCTACTGATGATCTTAGCAATGATATCTTTATGTTTATATGCTTTTTTCACGAAGCATATTCCATGTGGTCACCTCATTACCTGTGAGCTACACAAGCGATTGTGTGGAATTTTCAGTTTTATTTGTAACAATTTTGTAAACTGCGTTCCAGTTTATATGCTGTACGATTTGTTAAACATGATACTAAATCGGGTTCGTTTGATAGCACGTGTTGTTGTCATTTCTTTTATTTTGCCAACGTCATTTTCGATGGTGTAAAATGGCTCGACTTCCAATTGTGAATCCTACACAATGCACGAGTGCCAATTATTGATTCAAGCGAGTAAATCCACTCTTCGTAGTGTAGACCATTTCATTCTAGTGGCCAAACTCTACTGATGGATATGTTTGGTTTCCGACTACTCAAAATTAATCAGTAATATATGCCAGTCTGATGGAAAGACCGTAGCTTATGAATCGTACAAATGTTTATGAAATACTTGGAATACAAATGAATAAGCCTGTTTCTATAGAGGTCACACAAAATTTATCTAGTCTTACGATATGCATGATCGATTATAATTGTGAATATGCTTAAATGAATGGTAAATGAATTTTGTGCTCACCTGAATCCACTTAAAAGATGCACACAGAATTCCTTGTTAATTAAATGAATTTAAAACAATATTTGAAACTCACTCACTCACTAATTGGTGTGCAGTTTTATCTTACGATTACTTCGAGAAAAATCGACTTTCAACCTAAGTAATTAGAAGTAAATGTTTATTTTTTTTAATTTGGTTTTTTATTCCTTTACGTTCCCAGTGGAACATAGTGCTCCGAGTTTGAGGCTTGAAGTTCCGGTACCACTGGTGTGTATTTTTTTACGGGATGGCGTTGCTAGCCTCATGCTCAACCTTCCCTATTTCTTACTACTGTCTGTCTTTCTGTTTTCGACATAGAACTTTTCACCGATGTGCGTCAGTTCAAGTCGCCACACTCCCTCCACGTAGCACACAAAGCGAGAGGAGAAAGTAGAAGAAATTCATAATAGAGACAGTAAACAGAGGTGTGAGTCAAAGGAATAGTAATAACGACATAGTTTTATTGGAAATCATAGGTCACAAGGAGTGGATGCATCTGAGCCGACTATTGAGAACGATTTTGAGCCATATCACCAATTGTTCCCAACCATTGCTTCTTACTGTCTCGAAGACGCCAATCAGGAAGCCAGTCTACACCTTCCTACGTAGCTTAGACTAACTGTTGTGGATTTCATTGACTGGTGCCATGTTTTCGTTTGACCGCCGCTAGCTCTTTTCCAGCCTGACCCTGTGTCAGCTAACATTGCCCGTCGAGGAAGGCGATGACTAGGGATACGTAACACATGTCCTAACCATCTCAGACGATGTAGCTTCACAACCTCGTCGATTGATTTCCCCTCCCACCTACCTAGCACTCGACCAGTGCCTAACCTCAATATTGCTCACCTTATTGTACCACCTCACAATATTACGAGATTAGCGAGCTACAGTGGTACAATTCTCACCAACGACGGATGCGCTCCAGGATTCGATCCCTGGCCGACGCACTCCTTTACCTTGTTAACTGTTGATCAGATTAAATGAAATAAAGTCAGTCAGTTAGGAACATCTTCCATCAACTTAGGAAAGATTGGAATTGAAACAAAAATTACAGTCTGATAAAAGAAGTGATTTTGGGAAAAGACAGTTGTCCTTAGGATTTATTTATCTTGATCAGATTTGCAGAGTTGAGGGTGATGATTTTGTGCACCTTTTTGAATGAGAAGTATGAGACATTCCTGCAGACCACCAATGTTATCGACTCAAAAGAGTTTCAATCCAAAGAATGCCCATCTGATGAGAAACGGACCCAGAAAATCAATCCAACTTACTGCATGAGAGTTAGGTTCACAGACAACATCTCACTTCCTCAGGAATATGCGTCGGCCTCTTAATCCACGTAAGGTTGATGAAGCGGTCTTACAACAGATGTTGTTGCAGGGTCTATCACTGTTTATCCAAAAGATTTCCGCTATCCCCTACAAGTCCGTCAGCCTAGATGAACAAGATGAGCTTGCAGTCAACATTCTAGATGTAATGCATGACAACAGTATCTACAATGTATCAACGCCTCATGGGTTGCCAGTTCATGTTGCTTCTGCTGTAGAAACACCTGTATTATCGGCGATTTCTGTATTAGCAAACAAGATGAAGCAAGAAACTGAGATGTCCGATCTACGTGCACGATGTGGTAGAACACGGTCCAAGTCAAGACAACGTCGATGGTCTTTCTCAAGACAAGGGATCACACCATCTCCTAATACTCGCTCGGAGAATTAGCTGGTACCATCGAAAAATAGGAAACCGAGTTATTCGGTATGTAAAACCGTGGAATTTCAATAGTGGAGACTCGGCTCAAGTGAAATCCCCAGCCAGACAGTGATGGCGATGGCTGTTACTGACAATCACTCAAGTCTTCCCTTCTACGTGAGGGTTGAAACTACAGACATACTATTCCTGGTAGATACAGAAGTCCAAGTTAGTGTAATACCCCATTCATTAGTCCGGCCACCTACTAACGCACCAGGGAAAGGTTCACCTCGAGGAACTAGCTAAACGGACATGCGGGCTTACGGTGAACAATCACATATCTTGCACCTTGGTTTACACCGTCGTTTTACATGGATTTTCATAGTATTTGACTTTCGTCATGTTTTACCCGGTGCTTATTTTTTAAGTAATTTGAATTTTCTGGTTTTTGTTAACAAGAAGAAAACTGACTGAAAACTGCACCCAACTTCAAATCCATGGAATCATCTCAGACTACTCAGTCTATAATATTTGTATTGAAAAGACTGATGAGTTCACGTTTTCTGCATAATCGCAGCGTTTCTCCAGAAGTCAGAAGCCATCCTACAATATCGAAGTCGTTCCTCATTCAGTCACGAACAAAATCGTCACAACTGGTCAACCCGTCCGACCACGTCCTCGTCGACCACCAACCGATAATTTAGCAGCAGTCAAAGATGAATTAGAATCTTGTCTATGAGTTGTTGAGATGTTCGTCGCCTCGATGTTATTCTACCCACGTATACGTTCACTCAGTCAAATCAACTGTCAACAGGTTCATGTCAGTAGGTGAGTAGCTGAGTGATGTTTCTGTCTGCGCCACTGATCAGCACAGATTTTACTGTGATTAAGAGCAACATTTACACAGAGATCGGCGAGTGGGTTTCGCAATGTGTATTATCAACGTCATAATTCTCTTCGAATTCGAGTCGCGCATATACAACTTCACCAGCACTTCTCCATTTCATTCATTTTTCTACTGGGATGGAAGCTTGGATGATTCCATAGAAAGCACACATGCATTGTGAATTTCTTCCGAAAAATATTGGCGACTATAATCAAAATATTGTTAAAACCCCACGCTGAGTGACTTATAAAATCCAAAAACACAGGATGTGTCTAAAATAGAGTGCGACCATAAAAAGTTTAACATGGAATATATCATTGAAACCTCAATTATGAGGTGTCTGTGGCCGAATGTCCTCAAAAATAACGGTCAGTGTGCGTCCATAAGTAAAAATATCAGAGCTGTGTCAAATGCGATCCGCGTGTTCTTCAAGCAGCGCGCGAATGTCATACACAGAATAAAGTGATACGGATAAACAATGTCCAACAGCAATGGGAACACGAATAAAGCACATACAGCAAATACTGTTCGAATACGAGAAAATAAGTATTATACATCTCATAGAACTGAAATACATCGAGTGAGTTACACCTCAATAGCAAATAAAGAAAGTGGGTAAGAATTAGCAAACACAACATACACTACTCACTAGAGAAACGTAGTGTACGTGTTAACACAAAAGAAGGAATGACAAGTGGCAGATAGCAGAGGAATTAACACCACACTCTAGAAACCAAACTGGTTTTCCCGCAACAGCACTCAACTCAAATCATTCATCACATCTGGCTCTGAGTACAGACAATCATTCACGGACATTCTCCAACATTTCAATGCACAATCGAACAACACTGTAATTTTACCAGTCTTGCAGGGATTTATAACTGAGCGATGAAGAAGAAATCAACGTTTGCCAAATAGGTCGTCAGAAAGTCGACTGATGCGGCCCTTCAACTCGTCGTTCGCTAGTATATGATCATACGACTTCAATTAACCTACATCCCTTCACACTTTCTTCTGAAGACTGTCGAGTCTGCGTTCTACCTGAAACCTGTTAGGTGGTAGTTTCAGCCAATCCTCTTTCCACGTCAATGCAACTTCATAGTGTCCATTTATCAACCTTCTTCTTCACTCATCAGCTACCTGTAAAACCCCCCCTCCCATCTACTGTAGAATTCGACATTTCGAATGTGTGCATATCCTGAAATTCAGCTTCAATCATTCTCAACAACTA